AATTAATCAGAAGACAGTCAATAAATTTTGATAATGAATCTTGCATCCATACCTCAAAGGTTGTTCCATGTGAAAGTATGAATTCGATTTACACACATGAACTACAGAGAAAAAAATTGAGGGGAACTGACCTGAAAATTGAGAATTTGACATAGCTATTTTACAATAAAAACTCAATAAGCAGTGGAAATGTGAAATTAAGTTTGGAACCTTCTGCTGCAGAACATTCTGAGTTACAAGGAATTTAAAACAYGCAGTATGTAGTAAATATCCTGAAAATCAAGAAATGCCTGCCACAAGAAAATCTCAACCAGCCATGTGACAGTTGATACGAACTGCCTTAGAAATGTCCATCCATRAACAATACTCATTGTCTTTCATATTCTATCATTAAACAGAACATGGCATGCCTGCTGCCAAGGGATTAGATCCATTTCACAATAACTAAAAAGGAGAACTTTAAAGAATGATACTGAATTGATGAGTGCCATGATAGCCTGCTTAGTATTTGTCTTTGCAGGGTTTCTTTTATCAGAAGAGTCATTAACTCTGAGGTCTGGCTTTCCTACTGGCCTTTGGTATTTTCTGTTTTTCATTTGACTTTCAGACTCTGTCAGCAAATTCTACTAAAAAGTGCAAGTCTCTATTATTTGACACTAACACGCTCAAGTCCACTTATCATAAATGTTTTTAAAAATAGAAGGGAACATGACTGTTTTTCATTACTGTCATACTGTGTAGAGAAAAACAGCTTATAGAGGAACAGAAAAAAAAAATAACCTCCACAGAGCATGTGAAAATTGTCAATTACACAACCAGTATGCACTAATTGGCTCTCAGTTAGGGAAGGTACACAAGCTTTCCCTGTGAAGATAACAGACATCCAGTTTTTGTCTTCAGCCTTTTAAAACTGGGAGAAGAGAAGGTTAGGAGTAGCCTGTCAGTTCCTGGCTTTGAGCGCTGAATTATTAATTTACACAAAATACTACATTAAAAATGCCATTAAAACAACCCAAAGCAGCACACTGGTAGTTTAAAGAGGAAGTTCATGCTTCAATAATCTGCCAAAACCAATACATACTCCTTGAACATAATTTAATTTTCTTTCTCATTGTTTTTTTTTGCCACTTCCTGATTATCAAAGGTACCTGTCAAGGTCTGTATTTGGCACCCTTATGGTTCATCCTACCCTTTGTGTCAGCGATTGAGCAGAATTATTTGGASCCCTCACAGACCACTTGCATGACAGCAGGCTAATGACTTCCACAAAAGCCTGTAACTCCACTGCCAGAACAGGTCAACAGAAAGCCAGGCAGCAAACAGTAAAGGAAAAAACTCATATTCACAGAAACAACTCTTACCCACATGTCTTTGAAGACAGGAAAGTTAACAGAGAATATTACTACTAATGCAAATTTTCTTATTGAAGTATTGTGGGCCCCTGTGAAATTCTTCCATGTTTTAACTCCATCCACTTTCATTTTCTACACTGGAAAGCAAGAGTTATTTTTCTTCAGTCTACTGTGGAATATTAAGCACAGAACTAATGCCAGAAAGGGTAAACGTAGGATTTCAAGACCTTATCAACCACTTACATTGCACTCACTTCTCCAGAAAAATAAACAGATGTAATTTGGAGCATACTTTTTAGAAAGAATTTGTATTTTAGCCTGACATGAATGCATGTAAAAGGGTTCTTAGTGGATTGACTGTTCCTGAGAGGTACTTGCAGTCAAACAGGCACACTCCCCACAGAAGGACATATCAACTTCTCATTTTCCTTAAAAAGATACAAGTCTAAGCGAAGACAATTTTTATACCAACATAGGATTAGTTCATTTCAGGCAGTGATGTTGAATATTCATTAAAAAATTATGATTTGGCTGAGACAAAAAACAGTTGCAAAATTGGACCACATTGGCAAAAGATTTGTTTTATTTCATCCGGATGACAGAGGAGTGCAGCATTCAAAAACACAGAACAAAGAGATGAGGGTACTGTTGTTTCTATCCCTGTATGAGCTATACTGGTTAAAGAAAATTACTAAATGCAGATATTATAACTCTGTGCCTAAACCTGATGGTGAGTCAAATCCAGGCACAGTGCTTCAGTTTGATCCTTCCTTTTCCTTGGGAAATCTGTAAATCACTTCAACAGAAAGCATTCAGAGGCAGATTAAAAATACCARTGGAATGGTAAAAGGGAAGATGGACAGAAAAAAAAAGAAATCCTTTCCTTTCCATCCAGCAGGAGTATCTTTACCATTATACTATGACAGTAAAACCAGAAAAAGTGTACCACCTCCGTTTTACCAGCATCTGTTAATTTTGGTTTAAATCCAACTCTATCTTCTCTGTTTGTTGTTCCTGTTCAAATTATATAAAGTGAAAATAAGTTGTTTGCTTTCATGACAACCCCCACCCCCAGGGTTTCAATTTGAGCTTTTTTTTTCTTTTAATTACAGAAAGTAACCCAAAAAGTTAGTTCTTCACATATTCCTGGCAGTGACTYGTTCAAATTTTCCCTCTTCATTAAGAAGTCTCTATCACCATATTGAAAGCTTAGCCAACAATTTTAAGAGAGGGCCTTCACTCAGGACATGAGCCAGTGAATGATGATGTCTCTTCCATTCTATATTCAACTGTTTTTAAGCCCTAAGAGTATGGCTTTTTTAGATCATATTGTGTTTAATTATTTTTCAGTAAAAAAACTAAGCGTTCTAGTACTGTATYTAATTACAGACTCTATGTAATTGCAATGCTCCATATTTTACAGACCAATCTGAACATTTGCAGCATTTGGCAGTAACATATTATGTATTTATTTAACATATTTACTGGAGAAAAAAAAAATGATATTATAGATATTATTAAATATATTTATTTTTATATGATACACATACTTAGTTATCAAACGGCCATTACAATTCAAATAATTTTTGAGCTGAAATAACTTCAGCATTTCTGCAAATCATACCTGAATACAAAACGAAACATATGTAGTTTTCTTTGACTAAAGAAAAAAAAAGTCTATTTTTCTTCATAAAGGGCAAGAGATACAAACTGAACATGAAAAAGTGYTAYCAAATGCCAATAAATCACCGGATATTTGATGGCCAGTGAACTCTGGAAGCTTCATGACCAGGGCTTTGTATGTGTTTAAAGCACATAGTTACAGACATTGCTAGAGACACTTTATTCTGTAGACTTCAAGATTAAAGAGTGGCATTGTGCCAGCTGACTGCACATCTGTCAGAGCAAGARTTTATGCAAAATGCAATTGTCTAATTGACATGAAAATGGTTCCAGCAGTCCCAGCTTTGAGAACTTCCAGAGTACCTATGTTTTGAATCATGATTACCCAAAGAAGGCAGCTATCTTTACTTCAGGGATGTACTTCTATTTGCCCAAGGCTAAGGCTTTGAAAATAATAAAAAAGAAAAAATAGCATTGTTGGAATATAGTGAGAAAGTATTTGAACTGGGCAATCAATCAGCRATTTCACCTGCACTGTGCATACATAAGCAAGTGCTCCTTTTGACTGTTACAGGCTTTTAATATCAAAATGTAAAAGGAAAAAGTGCACAAAGATTCTTGAGTGTCTCTTTCTCTCCCTTTTGTGATTTCAGCCTTTTAGTACTCCCACTGCTGGAGGCAGACAAAAAGATGAGTTTTATCTATTATGCTGAGATGTCTTTGAGAACGAGTAAAGATTTAATCATGCTCCAGACCTGCGGGCAGAACCCAGGTTTGCTGCTCATCAATATCCTGCCCTTTACAGGCACTGAAAGGACGTGTCAAGTTCTCCTTCACCAACAYGTCTGGAGTGCATTGTAAAGCATTTGAGTAGCACTGTTTGTTAGGAGATGAAATATAAACCTTAGAAAAATGTGTGTCAGCAGTGCTGCTACAAGAGACAGAATAACTCTCTCACTTCATGTGACAAACTGAAAATTCAGAACCCCTCTGAATTTATAAAATCAATTTTGTTTTGGTTAGCACAAATACAAGATGGGTTAGTGCTAACCCCATATARGCTAATGACTTCAATTCTGTCTAAAGAAAAAAAGCATATCTTACAGAAAACTGACTCAGGGAAAAGGAAAGATGTAAGACTTTGTAATTGTGAGCTTCCCTGGGGCTTAGTCAGGATATCATATCCCATCAACATTTACTGAATGCTGTGCATACCTGGCTTCTGGATACCTAATATATAAAYTTGCACTGTCTATTCAGTCCCATGACCAGTATCTAGGTCATTCTTTGCTGGGAATTACAACCATCATCACATGATTTAAGAAGGTTATCAACACTAAATTATTCTTCCATACTYAAGGAATGGGTTTCATCAGCAGAAACTGCAGTAAAGCCAATGGAGAATATACACGTGGAGATTATTCATGCCTGATATAAGTATTCAAATGAAATTGAAACAGTTTTTCTCTCTTCTTTATCTGTTTAAGGASCGCATTTTTTCTCAGGAAGTGTCCTTTTCAAAAGCAGAGTGGTTGGTGCAYACATCAGGTACTCTACTTTTGAAAAGAGACAAGGTCAAGCTTTGGAAAATGTTTGGTCCTTGCCTTCATTTTCCCCACACCCTTCAGATGTCACACATTATATTTATGTGCTTTGATGAGAGAGAAATACATCTGATTATGTATGCTCCCTTCCCTCTCCTTCCACATTTCTTAAGGCAGGGTGGTTTGACATCAGGAGTCACCATAAACATGTGAACTCCAGAAAATCATTGTTTATCTGCTAGCAAACACAAAGCCAAGGGTATGGYAGCAGACTTTCTACAAATGAACAATTCAACTAATTGTCTGAAGATCCAGTACCGATCCTAAGAAATTGATTTTGGTTTGAAAGTCTTGCATTGATTTACAGGTTATGCAATGATCATTCTTTTCACAGTAACCTAAGTACACAATAAAAAACCCCCTAAAACCCCCAGTTTCCAGTTCTTAATTTGTGCCAACAAGTGGAAAAAACCAAACTCACTTGCAGGAAATTTTTGTGCGATCCACCACCATGGTCCACTGCTGCTGATTCGTTGAAACTTCAATGTAGTAGCTGTAGCTTCGATCATCACAGTCCCAMAGCAGCAACCTAAGTATGAAGAAGGTGTAGAGTAGTAAGTTCAATTAATATGAAAACAAGCTTCTTAAGTTTTCCAGTCCTTGATTTTCTCCACTTAATCCTTTCCAAATGCAACTGTTTATTTTGGAATGTACCTTTAACACTCAACAAAGACTTTACTGTTTTTCCTATCTCAAACTACAGCGTCTCTATTCCTATTATCCTAAGACCAGTAACAGACTTACAGGCTTATAATAACCAGCTTATGAACATTATCTATTACATTCATCCGATTACTTTTAATTTATTTGGCAWGTGGCACTGTCTTCTCTAAACATGAAACGAAGATCTGTTTCAAAAGGTCAGTTTAGGAGTGGACAGAAAAAAATAAATGGGTGATTAAAAGGATTATGCTCCCTTCTTAATTGTATTTTTTGGTTTTGGTAAATATATAAGAAATATATTTTAAAAAAAGAAAGGAAGAAAGCGGGAATTCCCAGTTGTGGTTCATTAGAAGAAAACAAGGAAGAAATCCATTAAACAAATTGCTAAAAAGGCAGAAGAAAAAGGAAGATAATAGAGGTCTGACAAACATGCATTCCTTCAGGAAGGGCACTAAGTGATATTGAGTAGTCTTTGATTTCCATACTTGTCTTATAGTGAGGAAGACCTAAAGCATCAGGGATGCTATTTAGCTGAAGTATCAAAACCYGTATGTGGCAAATGTATCTGCTTTACTTCTGTTTTTATTGGCATTATCTCCCTGTTGTAAGAGATATTTGGCCCAGAACTTGACCCAGTACTCAGGGTTCAACCTCCCAATGCCAAGTACAGAGGGAAACTACCTAGTTCAGCCCTTTCTATTCAGCTTTTGAAATCCCTGCATTCTTAGTAGAATTGGGTCTAATGGACAAGCAGATTCAAAATAAATTCCCTAGATGCTGAATCTAGCACGTTAATATTATCAGAAACAATATGCTGCCAAAAATAGTAAGAAGCCAAAATAAAATACTTTCAACAAGTCTGCTAGCACATATTAATACCATCTATTCGCAAATTCAAAAATTCAGAGTTGACTTAGTAAAAATAAAGAGCTGACCGTGGCATTATGACAGACATCAAAAAATCCCACTCCCCAAAACTACCCAACTTTAACCCCTCTGCTTCATCAGATTATGCCTATTTTGCTTTTCTACAGCTCAAAGGTCTCCACAGACACTGAATAAGTGCATTTTCTTAAAAAAAGAAGTTTACTGATTACAGTCATGTGTTTGGTAACTACTACTAATCAACAGATCCTGAATTAACATAGATATTTAAACCAAGTTTTCTAAATGAAAAGATGAAAAATCAAAAACATTCATAAACTTGTTTTCTTTCAAAAATGTTATTAAAATGTAGCTAATTATGCTTTTCAGTAGAATCCTTTTTATCATGGGGACTCAGAGCTGGTTCCTTGATCCATCTTTTCAAAGCTATGATCAAGAGTTTGAATATCAGAAGCACACTGGTGACTGTAATTTCAACCAACAATACTGTAATTAAAACACAGCTGGCTTGGTTTTAAAGCAAAAGGCTAAAAGGACATATGTGTTCCTTTCAAAAATATATAATTGCTCTCTCCCAAAACAACATAATCTCGTTAAATAGGTTTTAAAAATCATATGGTTTAGAATTATCACAAACCAAACAATGAGTGAATTAAAGTTGACAGCATGCTAAATGTAGATTTTTGTTTCTTTGATGTTTCTGAAGGAAAATAGCAAGTTATTTCTTCTCCAGCAGCTTTTTTAAAGAGAGACTTAGGAAGGAGATTGACAATGGAATTTATTTGGTATTTGCTCTGCTTGAMATGCTTTTCTGGATAAGCAGTGAAAAACTTTCAGACAACAACTTGAATATTCACCAGTGCACACTAAGCACAAAGGCCACTTTTTATACCAGGCACAACAATCTTTGCAACAATTACAGGCAAATTACCATGCTAAACTTCTTTTACGGCAAAGTTATGTTTTGCTAAGATGAATATTAAATGACAGGAAGGAGAATATTCCATTTAAAAAGTCAGAACTGTACCCATTGGAAATACATCTGTTTATAGCAAAATTGCCCATGTTCTTAACGACTTGCCATATTGAAATAAAAGCTAAATTAGCTCATTAGTGTATCTTGCCCTCAGGACTGAGAAGGAAAAAAATCAAGTGGAGATTTATCCAGCTCACATCCTGCAACAGTGTGAGATTTAAACATATTTCTTCCTTGGGTATCTAGAGTCTAAGCCTGTGAATCATTTAATATGACATCACTATTTACATCACATGTYCACAATGCCTCACTTTATACAAGAAAAGCTTTTCAAATATGAATAAAGATCCACATTACAAGCATAGGAAAATTACTATATTGGCTACCTATGACAAAAAAGATAGTTGCTGCAGTTCCTTTTTAAACAGYATGTCCCTAAATGTCATGCATTGCCCTGTGATTGAATGCTCTGCATTTCTAAAAACATTTTGTGCTGTCTCTGCGTGCTTTTTATTTTTAGATTTCTGTAAAAACGATTTTCACTGTTTAGCTCAGACTGCTGTATAACTACATCTACTCAAGGTGTTAGCAGAATACCAAACAATATTAGTCCTGCCCCTGACAGATGACACCTGCTTCCTGAGTACTGTAAGTCAGTACAGAGAACACACAGATAAACTTGACAGTACTGTGTTGATAAACCACTTGCATACTTGTAGAAATCCAAAACACAGAAATTAAAACATGAGGTAGCAACACATCTTGAAAGAGGAAGGAAAACAAAGAAAACTCAAAACCACATGGAAGGAGACTTTTTTATACAATTATTGCAGCATTTTTGCCTCTGGTTGTCTATAAACCCCTTCAGTTTTCTGCAGATGTTTATGTTTAAGTAACTACCCTAAGAACAGTCTTTCTTCCTACAAAGGAGAAAGAAAGCAAGCAAGCAGTCTTTCTTCCTACAAAGATTCTACAAGGGAGACAAAATTTCAGCATACTTTCTAAGTGCTCCTATGACCATTCCTTCTGAGACATGATTTTACTCTCAAGTCAGGCAAGCACAGAAAATGAGCAGTATAGAAAGAAAAACTTCATAAGCAGAAATGGGATGGAAAATTATGAACCATAAGAGATGTATATGATAAGGGTATAAGCAAACAGAGAACACATTCAACTTCATTGACATTGTTTTTTAATTTAAGAATTATTCTGCATWTCAAAAGCTAGCATGTTCATACTAGCACTAAAGTCTTCAGAAAGATTAAAGTCGTTATAAGTAATTAATGTACTTTGCTAAAGACAAAAAGTATTTCTATTTATGCTAACATGAAAATCACTATGGTATAGAATTTCATCTCCACCACATACACTATAATAAATCCTCCCCCCCCCCTTTTTTTTTTTTTTTTTAATTTACAGGAAAAACCAGCCACATACTGTAGCATAATAGTATTACATTTCTATTCTAGATAAATGCAGAGAGAGTTATACAGAAAGCTACTGTGATGTGGCAGCTGCAGCAATATTCAAGTTCTAGCCACTTAAAAATTAAATTATGTTTACTAAGTTACACACACCAGTTGCTGTCTTTCTGTTCCTAATTAACTACTATGGTTTTTCTATCATTGATATGGGCCTTTTCAGAGAAGAAAAGCGGAAGCTTATTTTGTCTAGACAGGCAACTATGTGGAAAAACACCTAAACTAACATTTTCTCTGTTAACTSTTCCAAGTATCTTGTAAGCTATTCTGAACACTAATAAAAGGATAAACCTCCTATTTATTTTTAAATTTCATAATTTAAAAGACAATCTTTAGTAACAATTATTAAAAAAAATCATAGAATCATAGAATAATTTTGGTTGAAAGGGACAGGTTGAAATCTTGTTTTTAATGTCTTGTCTATYAGAAAAATAATACTGAGCACTGATTGTCATTACAATTCTTTCAGAATTTCTGAGTAAATTTGATGTGGAAGTCAACAGCACCAAATTTATATATTATACATGAAAAAGTTTTAATCAATATTAACAAGATTTAAACATGGTTTCCCATTGAATTTTCAAGTCAAACTGAACAGATGTCACTAGCTGCCTGGGTGCCTTCTCAGAAATGCAGGCTAGAAACACACCGAGTAGCAACAGGAACTGAGCCAGCAAAACAATGGAGAAAGATCATTGTTCTTCACTTGACACTTGTTAGATCATACCTGGCATACTGAATCCCTTTTTAGATCCAAATATAACATTGATGCCTCTGAGCAATCGCAGCAGAGGACCATCAAAATGCTCATGAGGTTGAAGCACACACACTGTACAAGAAACGAGGCAAATTGGCTTCTTTAGCCTAAGAAAGCTTGGGGTTGGGTTCCTCCTCAACAGCACTTGTCAATACCTGAGGGCAGGTTATCACAGGCTACCCAGAGAAGTTGKGGAATTTCCTTCCTTGGAAATTTTCAAGACCTGAGTGCATTAAAGCCTTGATTAGGATGGCTGTTTTCCATAGCTGACCCTCCTTTGAGAAACAGGCAGAGGCTAGATGTCTTATTCCTCAAGTCCCTTCCAATCTGAAGGGTGCTAAGATTTTTAGACACTGGGATGACTTTGGCAGAAAGCATGAATACAATATATACTCCTGAAACATTGAACTCCTAGCATTTCTAAGGCATATYTGAGCACCAATAGTTCTTCTGGTTTTTTCCTACTCAGAATTTAGTTGCCATGGTAACACATTATGTCTTGAAGGCTCTCTCCAGTGGTATTCCAATTTCTGTAGACTAAAAGCAGCTACTACTTTTTTTTTTCAAACGTTTGTATATTTATCCTCTCTGAAACAAATTCATTCAACAGCACATTTGTGTTTCTGAACTAAAAAGATAACGTATTTTAATTCCTAATTATTCATTTGAAATCCAAACCTGTGGGTATAATGACTCAGTTTCTGAGGGTAGCGAAACTCATGTCATTCAGTCATGGTGTATTGCCAGCCTAAAGCAAATGCTCCTAGAATTCTTTTCTATTAGGTGGGAGCATGAGATCAAGGGAGTTTTCAAACAAGCAAACAGCAGGAAAACAAGCAGTGAATACAGTTCCATCAGTTGTGGCAGACAATTCTGTTAACGAAAAAATTCTCTTGCTTTCATTAAGATTAAATACTAACACTTTGTGCTCTCATCTGTTTACATATAATTTGATTTCTGAATCTACCAAATGTAGATTTCCTGATGCTAAAGAGACCACTGTGATCATCTTTATCACTGCACCATACAGAACATATTCCAGACCCATGCCAAAGCTGTAGATGTCACGTAGTGAAACTTCACTTCYCCACTCCAAGGGGCACTTTCCCCCTGGCTGCCTATGACCTGCARTAGACATGGCTGCAACTCAAAGGACTTGTTCTTCTATGCAGTACACAGAAAGGAAAAAATGACATAGTGATAGCATTTCTGTCCCTAGGCAATACAGGTAGTCTCCTCTGTCAGAAGATACCTCAGATGATGATGTTCATTATCATTGCTTTTATAAAGTAAGCTATTAATCTTGTTTGTGCTATACATGCAGGAAAACTGACAAAGAAAGATGAGATTCATGAACCTGTAGCTGTACCATGCAATACCACATAAATCACTAAATGCCTATTAGTTTAAAATTATGTAATGTTTGGGTTATTTTTTTTTTTAATTTGCCCTACACACTTGCTGATTTTACAATTATTATTTCAGGGCAACCAGAAGTTTAAATCACCTAACACACTACTTAACAAAGAGACTATTAAAACTCTTCTGCATATGAATAAACAGTAGCAGAAAATTTACTATAGGAAAGTCAGGTTTCTTCCCTCACCGGAAAAGATGGTACAAATCTTCAATTAAAGGATAACAGAAAACAGTAAGATAGRAAAACAGAGACTATGAACTGACAAACTATGCATTTTAGGTGGTATATTCTTCTCTTAATCTTTCATATGGCCAAARCTGTAACTGATACTAAAGTTTAAAGTGTCATGAAAAGGATGGAATTGCATTTTCATTTATCTGTTTAAAGAAATTTGAGTACTGCTTGGTTTTCTACTTGAGATGTAATATTTAACAGACTATTAAAAACAACAAACTCAAATGAGTGTGGAAAGCTGCCAACCATGCTTACTCGTTTCACACAGTGAGAACAATGCTGGAYTTGCATTATGCACAACAGACAAAACGCTGCTTTTGTTGGGTTACAGATTTGCCTGGATGTCTGATTTCAAACTCTATCTTCAAAGTTTTACAACCATCATAACAATGCCACAGGCCAAAACCAAAACCACACAAAACAGAAATTGGCAGTTATAAAAGAGCTTTCAAGTCTCACTTGGCTTATCAGTTTGAAGAGGCAACTCTAACAGGGAGATGACACTGAGCTCCTTGAAATATGTATCTATGTACATGGTCTCTGTTGCAAGCCAGTACTCACCTGGGATTTCAGCCTTTGATCACTGGTGCTCTGAACTTCAGAAATCTCTCTTTATTTCACTGTCACAGAGCATACAAATGAAGTCCCTGACTACACAGTCTAAATTCATAAAGACCATGATGCCATTAAGACAAAGTTTGTATGCCTGATTTGATGAAACAAAAACCCCAAAGTCAGAGAATCTGAAGTTGGCAACAATATTTTTGTCTTCATCTGTGAAAAATTCCACTCCCCTATCCATTTCCTATGTCTCTACATCAGCCAAAACTTTGATCTTCACATATATACAGACATTCACAGTAGAAACAGTCCAGTGAACTTCAATTCAAACCTAAACACATTCGTTAATCGAGCACTGTAAAGCAGTAGTCAGGCTGCTGTACCTCTATTACACCCTCCATGTTTAAGTAAGAACTAGCACCAATTGTATAGTGAAAAGGAAGCTTGGCTGACTTGAGAAGACGATTTTCTTCAATAAAGTAGCTTTCAGAATGAAGTGGATAAGAGTAACTGCATCTACTTAACCATAAGTGAGACTTCAATTAAATCCTATTTTAAAATAAGTATATAACTTTAATCTTATAATTTGACTGTTACTATTATTATGCTTCTGAAAAGCAGTATTTTCTGGAATTGCACTGCTGTATCTCAACATATAATTCCCACATTTAATTTCTAACATGCCTATTATACTGAAGTAAGAAGCCAAATGACAACTACTAAACTAGCCCCCTAATTAACGTCATTTCCAAATGTCATATATTCTAAAGAAAATAACTGCTCAGCGAAAGTTTCACTGGGGACTCTAATTTAGAGAAAAATGAATCCTCTTACCGTATTGATCCAATCATGTAGGGCTGTGCCAGCTGTACTACAATAGCCCCGCTCCCAAGCTGGTGGCATGTGTATCCAGAATCCCAATCGTAGTTTTTTGTGTCTCCATTCAATAAGGCATTGCGACTGCGACTTACACCCTCAATCACACTGGCACAGTCTGCAATTGTTGCAACATTTTCAGTGGGAACTGTGAATTAAAACCAGAAAGATGATAGACAATACATCAGAAAACAGTTCAGATACCAATGGTCTTTATTTCTGGAGTAGTATTAGTGAACAAAAAATATGTTCAACAGAAGGAAATTTAACTCACATAACATGAACTATGAACAAGTGGTACAGATAATTTTTATAGCATTGATTCTAGAATAGCTTGGTAAATTAACAGATAGATTTCAATACTGATGATACAAAAGAACTCTTTTAATAAAATTGGGAAAACGTATCTTGGCCAGCAAAACTTCAAAAATTTTGAAACAATTTCTTCCTGTTTTCCTGATGAAACCTGCCTCTACTACAACAYTTGAAAATGGCTGAAACATAGCTATGAGAAATTTCAGAGCTAACTGTATGAGTCTTCAACATGCAAAAAAAAAAAGAGATTATCTTCCATGAAGAGCTAGGATTCTGTGATTTCAGTGTGCTACTGGTGTCAGGAGCATAATCTTAAGAAAGCCATTAACCAACACCATAAAAACACAGGTGAAAAAACAGCAAGCTCATTGCCAAGTAATAATCTAGAGTAGTGGAAAAGCAACCACTTCTCAAAAATCTTCTATGCTATCAAATGCACTATCATCTCTGTCTGTTCATAAAAAATTACTAAACTCCCCACATTATTATTCTAGAATCTCCCAATTCCCCTATTACTGAAAAGAGACACTCAACAATTCCCAGATTCTTATGGGGTGCAGGTGTTAGACATTAGAAGTATTTCACTGGGAACAATCTGAATAAAGCAAAAGCTAACAATGCAAATGAACAGTACTGGCACTGAATTAAAGTTTGCCTTGACTTCCTTTTCTTCTGCTCCTCCCCATGAGTAAGAAASTTGTCTGTGTATTCATTTTATATAGGCTTTAAAGCATCTTCTACATAGACCAGTTTTTTTTAACTAGGAAGAGGGAGCTATTGAAATTTTGCTAAAAAAGAAAATGAGTAGAAGATGGTGTCAAAATCAATGCTTATGCTGAGGCTCCATGGCATATTCCAGACACACTCTGAGCTAAATGATTAATTGAATGCAGTGCAGCTCAGTTCATGCAATATTTTGCCTGCATGCCCTCTGAGCATCATTCTGCTCCTTCTCACATTTAGATTTCTGCACTAATCCATGACCTCCTAAGAAGATCCACTCCCACTCTCCTATCGATTTCCTGATTAGTCAAACTCCTTAAAAACTGTCTTGGTGTGTTTTTAATATAATTCTGTGGTTTTCCCTAAAATAGCTAATTAGAAAGTGACTCTTACTAATTGAAATGTGCAGAATGTGCCATACTGTTCCTTTTCTCTAGGGGGTCTGCCACTCCCTATTTTGAATGTTCATTATCATCTTTTATATCCGCTTGATAAATTTATTAAAAATACCATCTGGTGGGGACTCTGTTCTGAGCTGTATTTTAAAATCTTTTGGTTGTCTTCCTTTTTTCCCATTAGAGTTTCTGCTTCAATTCAGGTCACTTATTTACAAATACATACAGTCTTGTTTCTATTTTTGTTTCTTTTTTTTTTTTTTTTTTTTTTTTTAATCCACCAGCTATGCAGCTCTTACAAATATTGTCAGAGAAAAGATTATCAATATCAAAATTGGGTTTTTTTTCCCACTGTTCATATAGCAGTTTTGGGATGAAAAGTCTGATTTGCTTTTATGGAACAGAAAAGATGTATGTTAGCAAAGCACACACATTCTGTAAGCACACACAAGGAGAAGATGATTGAGGTTACAGGACAGCAGCATCAAACATTTATTAAAACTTACTTTCTTGTCCCTTTGTCTTATGCTGCAGCTCAGAGTGATGAAGAACTAGGAGTATATTTAATTCTAGGAATAGTATTTCTATAAAGGATTGCAATTTTCAAGGCATGGCCTAAGGGTCATCTATACTGGCTATATTTAAAGATAAGACAGATGTGTTATTCAACTGTCCTTAGAGATCATCCAAAATAAAAATGTACCAGAAGTATGTTGTAGCCTCAGTCATATTTATTTATCATTCCTTATGCTTTTCTCTTTTGCTTTTCCTTTTTAGCATACTTGATTTTTCTTAAGAATTTTCTTTTCCCCTGAAGCACTCTGAAAAAAAAAAATTAATGCTGCCACTGCTGACTGGCTTCCAGATCTGGGTGTAGAATACTTCCTTTCATCTCTCATTCTGAACAGGTCAGCTTTTGCTTTCGGTACATCCACATGACTTCACTACAATGTGGGTGGGTGGGATAGTAACAGAAAATCCTCAAATAACTTTTTGCAAAACAGGAAGGAACTGAACAAAGTGGGTTTCTATAGCGGCTCATGGAAGCAGCCATTAATGAGCCTTAAATAAATTATGAAAACAAACATGCAGGGAGACAGCAGATCTACTAAACAGTCTTATTTTACAGGAAAGTAGCAATTTAAAGCATTATGGACTGGAATACACTTATACTGCACTCTAGGCAATAGTCAAAGCCTCTCTACTTAAGTGTCATCATTGTAACAAAACTGTTCATTTTACTGAATTCTCTTAAAACCATCACTCTGAAGAAATGATAAACTATAAATTACACGATTTCTTTGTGKTTTTTTTTGTTTCAGTTAATATGAAGAAGCGATTTTCCTCTCATGATTACATCTGTTAAATGTTCAGCTTCCAATTGCTTAATTTTTAATTATAAAATTGCATTCCTTCTCTAATTAAGCATCTCATAAGCTGACAAAAGTTTCCTCACTGGATGGCTGGAAAATAGAAAGCTGAGACTAAAGAAATAAAGAATTAGGAATGCAAGTATTATTTCAGAGTTTGATCATATTGTATTAAAGAATTAAAAGGGTATTGAGCATTTTTCTTTCATTATTTTCCACATGCCAAAAGATTTGTTAAGTCTAATATTCATTGAATATATTAATTAGCCCATATTTATTTGCTACATGAYAGAAAAACTATGAAGTCTATAGACTTTTCAGTTAATTAAAAGTATAGTTGCATGTCCTATCTTTCATTCCATATACTCTTTCTTATTTTCTTGAGTTGAAACTTGCTGATGAAATTGCTATATWTGAGTCTTCAATTAAGAAATCAAGAGCTCAAAAAATTCCAACTTCAAACAAATATCAACAGATTTCCACCTGTATCAGTGAAAAGCTTTCTGCAAGCCATGTTTAGCAGGACAATAAAACCCCATGAATACGTGGTTTTGCCCAACTGTCAGAAATTGGATTAGAGAACCTTCAGTAAAGGCTGATTTTTCACTTGATACCTGCTACAGCTCATGCTTTCTAATCCAATAAATTAGAACAAAACCATTCAAGTCACTAGAACTGGCCATACTTTTCGTTGCCAGCTAGCTGGCTSCTACAGGGCTCTTTCATTAAACATTGTGCCTGCAGAAGGCTTTCAGAAATATCAGTTGTTTTAGCAAGTGTGCACCTCACCTTGCAGCACTGCAAACAGACAGAAAAGGATAAAAAAAAGATGGAACTGGAACCATATGGACAAATCATTGTTGAAAGCAATCATGTGGCTGTCCTTTCTTGTAGAAGGAAGGGGAAAAAATCCCTGCAGTATTTACTGTCTTTAATTTTTCATAATTTCCCAAAGCTATGCTTGCAGCAGAGCTGACTTACACTGCCAGGTAAGCCTGCATCATTTTGGGAGAATGCAAACCTTTTCAAAGGAGAAGAAACAAAATATGATAGCTTTGTGTGGAGTCAACATTAAACYAGACAAAAAATAACACCTCTCACTGCCTCCTTGGGGAGAGACAAAACAATCTTTTATAAAGYTGAACCACATACTAGGAAACTGATATAACTGGTTTCTCCCTGTTAACACATTTAGTTTTKKTTWWTTTTTTTCTTTTTAATAACTGYCAGAGTAAWACACAAGTGAATGTTTATTTATTTGTATCATTTTCTCAGTTTTAAAACWAGTTCTCCTAAGGCATTGAACAGCCCACAAATGAAGCTTCACAATGATTTCTAAGTACTGAATARCATTCCCCAGAGGGTGACCAAGGACATTCCACTGTTTTACATCCATCTTCTGCTCTTCAGTCATTATTCACTGTTCTTTCTTTTGTCTATAGTGTAAAAGTCACAAGACAGTCTCATAGACTGAGATACTACTTCGTGTAAAAGCCATCCACATTGYACTCCCAATGACYTTCACCAGGCTCAAAATCAGACAGYGGGGTGGTCAAGCCCACACAGTCCTTGACTGACCCTCAGCACTGAGTAGCAATTAAAGGACTAAGTGAGGTTACTAATTTTTTTTCTATTTGAGGTAGAAAAGAGGACTTTTTTCCTCTATTAAGGTTGGAAAAAACCCCTCAGAAACCTAAGAAGATGCCTTGCATAGGAACAGTCCTTTAACTGCTGTTGTAGCTTCTTTCCACTGAGCAGATTAGAAGGTTTTATAATCCATCACATGACACCAGGTACTGCTCCCAAAGGAGTAYGTCTCTTGCTTGTCTTTTGTTTTGAATTCTAGATTAACTATTAGTGGTTAAAGTCCATTCAAAATTTCTGAAGCAGAAGTTCATTAAAAGCAAGCACGATGAACGTGGGATTAAGGAATATTCACATCCTTGTTAAATGAAAGAGTTATGTTGATATTGTGAATTTTATATGTAAAACTGTTAACTTACACATTTAGAGATACTATCATGCCAAAAAGAAAATTACATCTCAACCCTAACATCTGCGTTAAGGAATAATTTGATATGATTAAATTTATTTCTGTCACCTCATTTCACACGACAACAAAGTGTAAACCAGCATTTAAACACCAGACAATGCTACTAGAACATTTTCTGCTAATTTTGCTTCCAAACTACTGTGCAGTTACCATTGGGTTTTATCAGCATTGTATTCGGTATTGTATAAAGTAACTCTATTAATAATCTTCCACATTAACTTTTAAATGTAGTATGCCGTTAGTAATTTTTCATTAAAACCTTGTAYGCAAAAATGCAACAACATAAAATTGTTGTTACCATGAAACAACACTTCATTTTTGTTTACCAGCCTTCTAATCTTCACTGTCCACTGAATCATTACATAGATACTATGTATCAGTAGCAATATATATGATAAATTACATTCTTTGCACAYACAGCTTTCTGATCAAGTTGAATATCTTTCACAAAAAAAAAAAAATATTACTCATAAATATCCACACAAGACCCCTTACCAAATACTTCAGAGGCCTCATTTCTTTGGAATGATTTTTCAAATGACAAAGTCTTTGCATATTCCCTTCAGTGTTGTCTTAGAAGAAGGGGTCACAAAACCTTTCTGAAAGGACCCTATGGCCTTCAACCGCTGACCAATACTTCTCATTAATAAAACAGGGTATAGAAACAGCAGCTATGTTTGTCCTAAAGTAATTTAATACTATATTTAATATCATATGGGWCAAGCAATGGACCCAATGAACTGCYTTTTGAGGGTTTTAAGRTGCAARTTKCTAYACTTGGTTRAGCTTAAAAGCAAYGTACTTRGATTACTGCACTTCCATATACTTYGTTTATTTTTCCTAACTGATTTCASTTCACTTTACYCTATCTGATCACTGCAGAAACAAACATTACAAATCCTCACCAAAGGAGTAAAATAGATCTGTGCCAACCTATTGGCACTCATACAGAATTTTTACAGAAGTGGATCTTGGACATTCTGCTTGATCATGGGAGCCAGACAATATGGTACCTTATGGTAACCATCAGAGGTATGAAAAAAATCCACTAAATGGATATAAGGTCACTTTGCTGGATCAAAGTTGTTGAGAATATTTTTGAGTGGGCAATACTGATGGCCAACTATTCTGCTGGAGCAGTCAGAGATGCTCCTCAAGTAGTCTGGCCAAATCTGGACTGTCCTCAAGTAGTCCCCAAATTTTTCCATTTGTATCTTTCTCACCATAAACCCTGTAGSRTCATGTATAGAAGTGCTGGTGCTTCATTTAAAGTTGGAAGACTGTCCACATCCCACTTTTCTACTTGCTAAATTCTTACTTTTCATTTTCTATTGAATTGACTTACATCCCTTAAATATAAAAAGCTGTGGAGACCTACAGGCCTCTCTTTCTATAATGTGATCAATTCAAACAACTTACACAAAACTTACACAGTTTGGTTGACCCACACTGAATAACAGYATCGTTGCTCTCAATTAGCAATCACCATTAACACCAACAGACATTTGCTATTATGCTGTCTCAATCCTATTCACCTGTAAGTTCCTATAACCACAAAAACATTCTCACAGAGAATTTTTAATAAAGCCATACGAAGTCTCCATCCCCTAGATTACCTTTGAAATTCAAGAAATGTTAAAACAGATCAAATAGTTTGTCTCATCAAAATGATCACTCAACCAGAAAAACCAATGGAGTTTATGAAAGACGAGTCAATTACAGTATAAGTTCACTTCCACAAATATGCATGAATTCACTACCTTGCCTAGCATTACAACCAAAAATCTTTCTGGTAACACTCCAAAAAAAATTTGAGTCCCAAATTACTCACTTACTGAATAAGTTTGATCATCTAAAATCAAATACATACAAATATTTGTACACTCTCACWCTGATTTTGTATAAGGTTTTTAAAAATTCATAGCTGGCAGTGCTAACTTTGAAATATAGCTGAAAGGTTTTATGCAATTTGAGATACTTTGTTTCTCTGCTAACTAGCTTACTGAAGAGAGATGTTTTAACACAGCTCTTCTTTACTGCTTATTCTATTTTCTAGTCACTAGCAATTGCAATGCTATTTGTACACTACCTAAAACAAAGGGAAGGCTTTTGATTTGCCTTTGTATAATTCATGGCGAACAGGCTGAAGGAATTKGGTCTTGGTTTTTCAGAGCCAAATATTACAGTTTTCTCAAAAAAAAAAAGTGAGTATGACTTACTAAAAATCTTCCTTCTCATCCTATTTTGAAAACTGTTTTCCCTTCCATCTGTCATGGGTACACATTTAAAATTTAAATATATGCTGAAAACCAGCATGAACTCTGAGAACTCTGCCGAAATTCTCGATTTTGTGTCGTAAGTAATAAACTGTGGGAAATCCCACCTAGACAACTACTAAAAGGCACAGAAGCCTCTCCAATGAACTTCATGATCTAACTTTGTGAGTTTACATGGAAGAAAAGCACASAAATCACCCCTTTTGAACTATTAAAAAAAATTTACATTAAATCTTGCTGTAGCACATTTTATCATTCAGTAGCRTTGGTCTGCTGGGGATTTCTACCTTAAGTAACATAAAGGTACTCAAATCAGTATTATCTAAGCTGCCCAGAGCTAACACAGCTCCAGCGGCATGGTGTTCTGAGAATAACAGCAGCATAGCCAATACAATGTTCTGCCACAGCTAAGCATGTTTACGACTCTTTGGAGGGAAATCAACACATGAGAGTTTACTTTCTGCAGTTGTAACTAGGCTGTATAAGAGTCCCTAAATGTCCAAATCCATCATCACTACAATAAATAGCACTGCTTAGTCCATTCCTGTAAAAGAATTCAGACTAACCTACTGGGAAGCATGAGCAACCATACTGTGACATGCAAAGAAAAATCACATTGGTAGCACTGACTACCAGTGGCTTTGACAGCAGCGGTTGATTTGAATTTCTGCATTCCTGCAGCATCATTAACTAATTCACAGAACTGGAATTTCAGAGAAGTTRTAAGGACTAGTCAACTAATTCTATAATTACAACACTGTTTAACTCAATTTAGAGATTTCTGAGTAGAAACAGAAGTAGAGTTCGAATTAGAGAGCACTGATGGCCAGCTTTAAAAGACAAGTGYTTGCAACAGTTAATGAAAAAGGAAAGTAGTTTTATTTCTTACCTATCAGACCTTTTTCAAGAGTAAAGGATTTGTTTGTGAACATGCATTCAAATGCCACAATATGGAAAACTTTGTTCACTGTGTTGTGGGTCCCAACAATTCGAATATACCTATATGGAAAAAAAAGGGTAAATAGCACAAGTTAAACATGACAAACTTCTGTGCACTTAAATGTAATTGATTTAGACTATAATGCGCAGACCAATAAGAACTGAGTAATTGTTTAAAGAAAGAAAAAGGAGTAAAAGTGAATATAAATTTCACAGCAGGTTTGCATCTAGTTAGGATGGCTTCAATGCAATTTAAGAAGGAAGAAAACACAAACCTTTAAAGAGATGTGTAATCTGTTAAAAATGTTTCTGGATTAATTTACCACAAAAAAAAAAAAAAAAA